ACGATTCGTTCTTCGTATCGCAGAATTGTCATATCTACTACTGTGAGAATCACCGTTTTGAGGACGTGCCAGTGCTTCACAATGGGGAAAGCAAAATGCGCCAAGAAATAAAATAATCACACTCAAGTGTTCTATTTTGACTTTTCTTCGCCATTTTGATTTTTCATAATAATCCAATTTTCTATAAGCAGCTTATGTTTTATATATTATTATTCTTCATAATATTTTCCTATTTAATCTTTCAATTTTCAGTTCTCCAAAATTTTGTAAAACATTGATATTATTCTCTCAAATTCAACGTCGAAAGTTGTTTCTACACTTCCTCGCACTTTTCTTTTTTTGTATTTGTTTAAATCTCTGATAAATTTAGATAACGAACGGGAGATATAACGTGCCAACATTCCGTGCCAACACAATGAGCATTTTATCATAACTGATCATACACGAAAATACGATAATGCATTGTCAACAATTAGAAGCATGTAAGCTATATTATCATGCAATAATCAAAATAGTGTATTATACGGAAAGCTAAGCTTATATAAATTTAAATTTAAATAATAACTTTTTTACGCATAATAAAAATCAACAATGAAATAAAGAACAATAATATATGCAATAACATGCAATTTTTATTTCATCGAAGAAATCTTTAAAAACCTTAAAACATCTTTATGATCTTAAATTTTATATTACATAAAGAAAAAGAAATAAGAAAATTCAATTTTGATCGAGTATCGTATTTTCGAAACACGATGGTGGAGATCGTTGCGCGATCTGCCTAAAGTCATCGGCCAAGGTATATATATGAGAGAATCTTCTGCGCGTTCCCGGAGTATGCAGGGGGTGGCGAGTCGACAGATCGAGAGAGAAAGAGAGAGCGCTAGAGGAACCGGTGTGTATGTGATGTGCTGCTGCTGCTGCTGCTGCGGCTCTTCAGTGTGAGAACGAGAGAGAGAGAGAGAGAGCAATGATAACCGATGAAGAGATGGAAGAAAGAGTGAGCGCGCAGAGCGAACGCGAGAGAAGCACCGGTACGGAACTGAGTGACAGAGAAAGGAACAGAGAGATAGAAAAAGAGGAATGGACAAAGAGAGAATGAGTGTAAAGGGAGGGGAGGCGGCGTGCGCGTGCGAGAGAGATAGAAAATCCGGTTGCCTGGCGACGAGCCATCTAGTTCGATCCCAGCCAGCCGACCAGCCACCCTCTGGGCGCAGGAGCAACGAGAAAAGGCGACTACCTTTGCCTTCGTTTCCTTTTTCTTGTCATTCTTAACTTTCTTCAATCGCGCCTTTGTTTCCCTGGCCTGGTACATAATGAAGAATTTTCTTGTTCAATCCTTGTTCTTTTTTGTATTAACAGAATAACGTAGTGTATGAACGAGTATCGGTGATAGGTTTCGATTAATTCGGGAAGAGAAAAGTGCACACGTTTCAAGGCCGAAACGAGCGGTCGGTTGGTCGATCGGTCGAGTGCGTTGCGTGTAAGCGCGTGTGATGTGTTGAATGGTGAAAAGATCGTTTTGAATAGTGTTTCGTTTTGTCACGAAAGGATGAGAATGGTTCTTGAAATAGAGAATCATCGTGGAGGGAGCCAGATGTAAAAAGAAGAAATCAAGAAACGTAAGAAGAAAGAGTGGTCCATTATCGGAGACAAAGTAAACGATCGAATCAGAGAAAGACACATAGAGAACACGGTGTGTGCACATATGTATATAGTGAATATACACACATGTTCGAAGAAATAAAAGGGTATTTCGAGATGATGTGAAATTGATAATAAGATGATTCACGGTTTTTATCATGAGATGGAGATCAATCAAATTTTCAATATTGTTCTTCGATGGAACGTTACAATAATGCGGAGAAATGTTTGCTCGAAATAAAAATGTGCACATTTTTCAAGTTGTTAGGGCATTACGATAACTTGAATCCATGCCGATTAATCGAATCGTGAATCGAGTTGATTCTACAATTGACAAAAAAAAATTAAACTGTTCCGGTAATGGTGATACATCACCGAAGGAACTTTCTACGAAGAAGTGCGAGGATCTTATCTATAGAAATAATCTTAGAAATTTTATGCGTTTGATCGAATCAAGTTTCGCTCCAGATAACCGCTGAACGATAATATTAATCGATAATCAACGAAAAACTCGACTTTACTCGATAATTTGTACACATTTTAGGAATATTTTTAAAAAAGAACAGAGGCAAAAGGTGGCCCATTGAAAGAACTTGCCAACTATAACGGATCTCGTGTCTTTTTTCATCCTGTTTCCCATCTTTCTTCGTCACTCTTGTTACTCTCCCTCTATCCTTTTTACTCTGTCCCTCCTTCTTCCTTTCTCTCTCTCTCTCTCTCTCTCGCGCGCGCTCTTGCTCTTGCTCGTTACAGCCGATCAACGCGAATCGAGACCTACGCATAGTCCAGCAATATGTTCCAGTGCATTATTCAGCAGAGGAACGGATGGATTCATCCTTATAATCCCGACACTAAGGACGTTCTTCCAGGTATGGTTCATTAGATTCAAATGCGTTCGCTTTTTTTTTTTCTAGAAGTAGAAAGAAGATGAAAGCATCACATATTAAATATATAATAGTATAATCTATATCTTTTCTTTGGTAATAATTCGATAAGTAAAACAGAGCAATAGTTGTTTAATCTAACCTATGTAGCTAGTTATTCATTATTCTTTTATGTATTAATCAAATTTATGTTTATGTTCAAATAATCATTATCTCAAATATTCTGTAGGATGCCATCATTCCTCTTCATTGTATTCACATAATCTCTACATATTATTTAAGTACATTGATTCCATTGATTTTTTGTTTCGTAGATATTGTACATTTTTGGTTACGAGATTTTTTTGTGCATTATATCATTCCACAATTTTGCTACGATACATTCACACAATGTGTGCGTTATACAATACATATTGGAAATTCTAGATAGGCAAGGACATTTAATGCCGGTGTAGAGTTGTGCGAACATTCGTTTAAATGTATAGAATTTCTCGTCAAGTTACTTGGAACCTTAGAAAAGCGATGCAATGTTGAGTTATAAAAAATCTTATTGGATCAGCATCATCAAATAAAATATCAATGAATAGAATTTATTTATATTTATAATGATATTATATAATTCAGAATATATATATATATTTGTTACTAAAAATTTTAATTAGTTGATTATAAAATATTAAATATAGAAGCAAATATTATTTTTTTAATCTTTTGAAAATATGTATAATTAATTTTTTAAATTTCATTCATCTTCTTTCATCTTACGGCTTAATAACGGAAGTCGAATTATTAAATTATAAAAAAATTATCTGAAATCTTCGAGAATAATTAAATTTTAGAATCAAAAGAGTTTGATCGTAAGTAATCGCATTTAGCAAGGATAATTACGACTTTCATTTCGAGCTTTGTCTCCGTCGTTTCTTCTTGAAGTGATTAGGAGGAACATCATCAAGATATGTTCTTATGGTCGTTTCGCGCTCCTGCTATTTCTTTCTTTTACTTATGTATCTGCCTCTTCTTAGAGTTGAATGCACCGCAAATGGTATTCTTGATTCTTTGTACCAGTGTATGTTTTTTTTTGCGTCGATTGGATTCTTAGATTAAACGAAGTTTTCTATTCGTCGCTACTTATCTCTTCCCTTACATGTTAATTGGAAAATGCCAATGCCGTAGAGAGATAAATAGATAGATAGATAAATATGAGAGAGAGAGAGAGAGAGAGAGAGAGAGAGAGAGAGATTGTTAAATACACGTAGAGTAAATTATGAGACTGTATTAGCATTATTTATTTGTTACAAATAAATTTAAAAATTATTATTTAAATATTTTATCTTTTTTACTTTATTTAATAATAATTACTTCTACATTTTACAAAAAATAGAAAAATTTGTATTTATTATATTTAATTATCTAACAAAAAGAACAAAGCTTATAATTTTTTCTCAAGTCAATGTATTATATTAAATATTTGTTAAGATTGAAAGTGAATTATTTATTATAATTATCTTATTATGAATAATGAAGAAAACAATGAAAGAAAATTGAATCTTTCAGATGTAATAAAAATTATTACATCATCAAATTATTACATAATACAAAGTGAATAAGCATTTTGACATTGAAAATTAATACTTTTTCGAATTTATATTTTTAAAAAATCTTACTCTTTAAAGCATTCATTCTTTCGAGTTATAAATTTACAAAATTATTTTATATTAAAGGTTTATTTTAATTCTTTATTTAACTTTTTGTGTTATCTAAAAATATTATTCAGAGGATTAATTAATTATTGTATTATGAGTCACTCTCCAATTTAATAATCTGTATTTTATTGTATAAGGAAGTTATCAAACTTCCTTTTACTAGAAAAATAATCTTTCCAATAACAACTTTTGATGAATTATTATTTTATAATGATATATTATTAATGATAAAAATAAATCTAAGAAAATTTGAAATTGCTTTTTTCTTAAATGCAATGATTTAAGAAAAAGGGCACTTTTTTTTAAATCATTGGTGAGTATAAAGGCGAGCATTGCGCCAGAACAGAATTACGTCGTGTTCTTCGAATAAATTCGTTCCTACCATATGGCATACGAACTCTAGTAGTTAACTTCCGGTCGATGTGTAAAGGTCCCCCATACCATGCAACAGAGAAAATCAAGGGGTTCCATATGGCTTCCTTGTTGGTCGGAACTTCTAATCTGTTTTTACGATTAAAGAATTATATGCATACATGTATATTTGGATGTTTTGAAAAAAAATTAAATTATTTAAGTTTTATTATTTATGATAATTATTATATTTAGGTTATTATTTAAAAAAATACTACGATTATTATACGATTGATTACAAATTTTAAGATGATAGATACACAGAATTGAATTTGAATTTTTTTAATCTTATTTCAATTTGTTTCTTTTTTAAAATAAATTATGTGGTTCTCTTCATTGTTATTTTTCACATTTTTTATTAAAATGTCAATATTTTTAATAATTTTTGCCATTTTATATGATATTCTAAAGCTTTTTTATTTCTTTTTCTCTTCTCTTTTGTCTCTTCTCTCAATTTCAATTTTTACACATGTAAAAAAAAAGATAATAATAAAACATAATAAATTCATTTTAAACATTTCGCGAAAAATTTTTAGTAATATTGAAAATTCAAAAAAACAGAAAAATAAAAATTTTGAAAATTTTTTTGATTATAGCATATTGCCAACAAACGTATTTATTATATTTTAGTAGAGTATTTATATTATATTTAGAGTATTTATATTTTAATTAAAAGCAGATTTAAATGAAAAATTAAAATGATCTCAAGAAAAATTATTTTTCACATAGTGAAAATTAAAATTCATCATAATTGAAAATTTATATAATATGATTATTTATACAAATATAATTAAATATATATAAAAATATAAATTATATAAAATAATTTTTACATTTATTTCAATGTTCTTTAATTTTAAAAGATTTTATCTTAGATATAATTATATGTTAAGGATTTAGAATCGAATCAAATTTATTTTTCATAAGAAGGAAATTAAAAAGAAAATAATAAAAATTTTGATTTACATGTATATTTTGAAATTCTAGAACATAATAAAATCTATGCGCTTGAATTATTTATTAATTTATTATTAATTTAACTATTAGCCATAAGATTTGTCAAATTGACGGTTATTTCGTTAAAAATCGATTTATATGAATTCTTAACCTACGTTTTAATACATGGTTGCGACGATTCGTTTAAGAGGGCGTGACGGTCGTAACATAAATCTTGATAATTGACGAGGCGAATCCTTGTGCGAAAGAGAACTTAATCATTAATTTTTGTAGCAAGACTGAGACATTTATCTCACTATCTTTTTCACCTGCTGTTATAGTGATAGTCTTCAATTCACTACGTACACGTTACGATATAATTATATACATAAAGGAACCGGTATGCATTGAATTTGAGATAACTAAAAATGAACTGAACCGACCACGACGCAATAGCCATTTGACGCTTCCCTTCAATTCTTGCAGGAAGGAAGTTGATAGAGAAACATTGCACTGCATATCAATTTATGTGTACGGCTCGTGCGTGAAGATTTTTCTCCTTCCATTTTGTTATACAATGTTATATTTTAATCTTATATTTACCTATTTATTTCTTTTTTAAAGCTGTATTTGAATATACTTATATCTTATTCCTGAAAAATTAATATTATTTTTCCATTATAAGAAAGAAGAAAATCTTAACAAAAATGAATGGATATAGCATAAAAAATAATACGACCACGATTCTAAATTATTATTTTTTGCGTTTTATGTTTCGTCGACAGTGTACAGTGTAATCGGATACAAAAAAAAAAAAAAAATTAATTCAATAAAGCTATCAACTGTTTGTATGCATG